TCCATAGGGCCTATATCTCATCACTTTTTATAAGTGTACAAAAAGTTGACTTTCACCCCCCCCCCAAAGTGTACATGTACCGGTACTGTACAATGTACATCAGCCAGTAAAAAAAGATGATGGATGGAGAGCTCCACTGGCCTAATCCCCTATTGCCCAGGCACAATGATGTACATTTAAGTCTTGTGGTTAACAGAAATGTTAATTTCAAATAAAACATTGTTTAAAACAACACCTGAAAACTCAAGGCCTGAAAAGCAGACATTACTGATACTAGCTAGCAACATCTGCAAAATTTGAAAGTGACCGCCGATTCGCACATTGACAGATTCATATTCAGAAAAAGCGTATACGAGGTCTTTAACACATCCCCCCCCACGGTCTGCACACTTGTGAAAATGATGAAAATGATGGATGGCCCCTAAGCAATATAGATAACAGTCGGGTACATGTACAGGTATACATGTAAGTATAGTACATATGTACATGTAGGTTTCTACTCAATTACCGGTTTTTGTACTGAACAAGTAAGTATACAGTTGCCAATGGCTGGGCATACTCAACTGAGCTGGCACAGTTTAGCATATGACATACATGTACATGTACAATGTACTGTACCTCTGCAGTGAGAGTTGGGGCAGAAGAACTTAATTAATTTTGAAAGTACAAGTACAGGTGTATTATATCAAGTACACCTACATGTACATGTATGTACCGGTACCCAATAAATCTGTCAGGCATTAATTTAGCTTAAACATGTTAAAGTTAAACTTTACTTTAAAATGAACTACGGTGTTTAAGATGTAAGTACTATCATTTGTCACCACTTCTAGCAGTAATTATTACTTCTCGCTGGATATTAGGTATGTGTACATGAAGCTTAGAAGGGAAAGAGGCTCAAACCCGAGGCTCAATTATGAATGGCGGACTCATTTGGCCAGCATACTGTCACGTCATTGATATTATCCCTGAAATTAGTATGTGATCTGAATCACTACAACAATTAAACATGAAAAAAGGACCACTTCTAGCTTGATGACAGGAGTCTACTTGAACAGGGTTAGTTCTCTTTTCCTCCCAAAGATACAAGTACATGTAAGTGAACCTAACCACCATCTTTGGAATCTTCCATTGCAACTCATGGCTGGTTCTTATGGTTTGCACATTATTATATTAGTGAGTTTTCAGGACTGTTTTAGCATGTTTTTTTCAACTCTAGGGATGAAATCTGAGGACTTTTATTGGTATGATTGGAGTATGAGCAGTTTTGAGTGAAAGTAATTAATGGTAGACAAGGCATAGTATGGAGGGCTCCAGGACCCTACTAATTGCCTGATCATGTCCAAATGTTAATAAAAGTGATTCGTAGGGAATTACTCAGACTAACATTAGACCCTAACGTTACCCGCTAGTTCTTTTGCAACCAATGCAAGAGTTCATCAATCATGAGCACAAGGAATTCACATGGCATTAAAATGAGCATAATGAATAGGCAATTTGAATTTCACTGAACATGAAGTCAGTTTTAAGAAGCACATCAAATTACCGACTGCGAAAGAGTTCCAAATACAGGTGCCACTTGATACCCTGCATCATGTGCATGCCTTGTGCACAAGCCCTATAATTTAAACCTGATAAAGTGAGACTGGTCTGAAAAGTTCTAAGTTATGAAGTGTTTTCTACGTGTTGTAACCGGATTATGCGTTACAAATAGTTTCAGATGACATTGACAGGACACCGGTGACAATGCGGATTATAAACAAATACAAACACAAATGATTAGGCTTATTCAGAAACGTGCGATCAGCTCACAGGAGCCATCTTGCCAACCCCGGCATGGCCTTCCCTATAATGCACTTGAATATGCATAAGAATGGAGTGCATAACTGGACAATTAATACATGTAACATATGAACAATCACACCGCTACACGTACACAGTAGGCTACATGAATATCTCAACATGCTCAATGTTTACCCGGACCAACTCTGACTTCTTAGGTCACATTCACTATTGCTTACCCCACTGTCCTGGGGGTGATTATTGCTCTCACTAGTTTAAGACATCAGACATGAAGGACATCTGGACACAATAATTGTCAATTGTCAATACATTATCAATGATTTCATCACATCATTGCATGTCTGACCATCATGCTGACCATAGAGGTGTAGGCCTAGCCTGCCCAGGCAACTGCAGGGGAAAATTATTTCCATTTATGGAATTCTTTTCCCTGACTGCAGACAGCAAAGGAAATCAATTGTATCTTTTTAGTTATTTTGTGATAAGAAACATTGACAAACCTTTTGTCAACAAACCCGCCGAAGCAAGCGAGTCATCTTCCTTTGACGCGACCGGGCGGCATTGGACGAACTTCACGCTGATCTGGACCAAAACCAGCAGGAGAATCCAACCAGAACGCCATTTTTTGTCATCCATTCTGACAACACTGTCCCCTCCACATCATATCTGGGGAAACATCCAAACAATTCTCCTAGAATTGGATGGTTTTGATACCCGGAAATGGTAGATAATTTACACTGTCATTTTCGGTGATAAAGCTTGGAACGGTTCCTTCCACAATATAGGTTAATCCCATCTATTATGTGTACACAAATAGAGGCGTTTGGGTACCAGATCGGTTTTATCATTGAACTAAGTAGTCTGGCTAATGTCCACAGTGCAAAATGTCTCAATGGAAATAACGTGAAAAAATGGGGCGGATGCCAGACTCAACTTGTGAGTCATGACCAATGGAGTTATGCTATAAATAACATGAACGATAATTTGTTTGTTTTTAACAAGTATTTTGTTCCGGGAAGGATTCCTCATACTTTGAATGGCGAATGAAATTCAGTGTGTTACTTTAACCCTGTTACTTTAACCCTTTAGTGAAATAACAAATACGAACTGTGCAGGCAACTGTGCGCTTTCCAAAACATGACAAAAACCTATGCAAATTACACCTTAATCAGCCCCTTTATAGGCTGACTAGCATCCACGAGTACCAAACTGTGAAAGTATACCAACTCCAGCCGCAAGAGGGCGATATATTATGGGGGCTCAGAAGAGGACATAACATACTTTTGTCAATGGGGGCCTACTGAGTACAAGAAAATTTTTACGAAGCAATAAATTTACTACATGATTTTTGGCTTAGTAAATCTGAAGTAGCCAGACAAAAAAAATCTCTTTAACTGCAACTTGAATTTCATAAAATTAATTATCGATCCGCTTTCATATTCTTTACCGCGTTATCCTTTGAAACTGATGATGATGCCTTGATATAATATGGTGATAATTTATAATAAGGGTGACGGGGAAGGTGGTGGAGACGGTGGTGATGATGACAGGTCATTTTTCTTGTGATTTACAGCTTACTTGGTGTTGGAAAAGCTGCATGGGGTAAACTTATGTGTTTGGTATGTTGGGTTTTGAAGTAGTTGTCAATTAGTGGTACCTGGTTTGGATAAATCTTTGCTAAATATTCCCAATTCTTCTTGCCACTGTTGTTTTTCAGAGCAGACCAAATTGTTGGGTTAAAATGACTTCATTAATAGGTTTTTTTTTACAAATACCAACCGCAGTGGTATTTTGGCTTGTAAATTGGACGTCAGTATAAGAAAAACTTTTGTAAGCAGTATTTGTAGTCGATGCCTGCTTTAACAATGGGAAGGGGAACAAACACCGACCACGTATTCCATTTTCCGAGAATGGGGGAAGGACTATATGGCTCTTCTTTTTGAAAATAATTTTGTGGGAAAAAGTCGATTCCGCCATGACAAAATTTGATTTTGAGGTTTTGTATGTAAAGGCCCATAAACTGAAGTATTTTTCACAATGGAAATGATAAGGTCCCAAAACTTGGTCCAAAATAGTGAGCCCCACCCACGTCCCAACTACAACAGCGCGTATTTGGCCGTAGTTAGATAATATGGCAAAGTCATTCATTACTATATACATGCATTGCACTGCGAACGTCCGATATCATCGTAGCCGTCGTGTTAAATTGAAACCAGTATCTATCACGTATAAATTTCAAGTGTTTGACAGGGCTGCTTTTACATAAAATGAACGGTTCATAGTATCACACATATTTTCTTGTGAGACGCAGTATCATTTTGGAACACCATTTTAGTAGGCCCATTTTCCCCGTTAGGTCAGCCCAGGTCCATGGTGATCCAGCTCATTATCCTTCAGCCAATCATTGGGGCCAGTGGTTCCACATACCACTTGGAAGTAAGTTGCCCGGGCAAGTGCTTTAATGAGAGATTTTACCAGTGTATCACGGACACACAACGGGTATTAAAGTTCATTTAAAATTAGAAGTTCTAAATGCAGATATTTTTTTCAGGAATATAAAACCCCTCATGTACCTGCTATACAAAAAATCTCCGAAGTCATGCCACGCTATTAATACAAAGCGAAATCCCCGGAAAACCGTTTGGATTGATCAGTAATAGCCTCTAATTGTCATTCTCGTTCCAGGAAACTTACAGGATCCTAACAATAAACATTTCCTTTCAATAATGTTCTCATTTCTGATTTCTCTCCATGTCTTTCGTCTGCTGTTCAAACAGCAATGCAGTGGTTTTCCTCATCCGTTGACTAGTGAAAACAAGATGATTATATTGCAAAACAGTATTCTATTTTTGGCTAAAAATCCACCGAAACAAACATTGTCACTTGCTCGACAGAAGTGTGTTTCCCATTTCATTTTGTGCACGTGCATGCAGAGAGAATTTACCAGGAGCTGTACATGGCACGCTATAGCTATAATTGTGGGTTTTATTGCGATGACATAATTATTTTGAACGGTAAGCATAGACTATCGAAAAAGTGATCAAGCAGATTCATGAATGCAGGACCCAATGCTCATGGGGAAGGACAGCCCCAAGGGCGGATCCGAGAACCAAATTTTGGGGAGGCTTAACTTTTTGTTAAGGGGAAAAATTAATCATGAATTGAATTTTTTTTATGTAACCTTTAAGATCTTTTCTGAAGGGTGACGACTGACGGTTTCAGCTTTTGTATATAAGGTTTTGGAAAGAAGAAAATGTGTAAAATGAGATAAAAATCGCCCCCTTGCCCCCCCCATCCGCCTTTAATTTGGAGCGATATATGGCAGGTGTTATAGCCCGCAGAGCAGGGGTGTGTATTGCAATTCTGGGTGACATCGATTGTGCTAAAGTCATTCATTATAATTACGAAAGAAAACTTCAAATTTCTTTAAGTTTCAATATTGCACGGGAGCAATTATACAAGAAAACTTGACGGTGTCATGCACTGCAGCTCCTGAGTATAGCTCACGGGGAGACTCTCCACAAAACAAGCAGCCTCGTATAACATGGGGAATAAGGGCTCAGACACCCCCCCCCCGGCCAGTACGTGTCTCCCACACTCAGAAATTAGAGGGAAACATTCTGGTGACGGTCCGCCTTTTGTTCAGTGTTTTACCCTTTACTCCATACCACTCCAGGAGGAAGGCCCTCCTAATTAGGTTTCCCCAGACAAATTGCACCCTAGTTATTATGCCAGTGATACTATGGCCACTGTAGGCCTACATGGGCGATAATTTGTAGAAAGTTTTGAGGCTTGTGGGGAAAACGGGCGACTCTTGAATAGCCTTCATCAGTGCACATGCAAGACACCAAGTATAACTGTAACCACAGTCATTAGTGTGCTCGTGAGTACGGATCATGAACAAAGGGACCAGAGGTTGAGATCGGCCGGGGACCACTTTTTCCAATTTTTTTGTTTTGGGTATTTTACGAAAGGGGGGGGGGCTTGCCCCTCACACATTTCAAGTCCTGCAATGGGGTTGGGCTTAGTGAATCTGCCTTTTAATGGCCGATGTCTGACGGTCTCTTACACTAAGAGTCTTTGTGGCCGACACTTCGAAAACCGCTCCGCCACCATTGCACCATGTCGAAGCAAAAGACTCGACTCGGGTAATATATATGCTAAATAGTACCCGTAACGTACAGATATAGGCCCTAATTGTAGATTAACCTGCCACTTGAAAAACAAAACCAAAAAACAAATAAATAAATAAATAAAACAAAACAAAACAAAAACCTAAAATCACTGGTTAGGCGGTTGGAATCGGGGAAAAAAATGAAGTCTAAATCAATGACGGAGGTGAATTTATAGGGATCTTTTTGAAATGCAGCAACACAAAAGGAACGGGGATCGTTGACCAAATAATGGGTATGCCAGATGACGTGGCATGGTTGCGAATTGCGAAGCGAAAGTCCCCTTGTCTGAGAACGATGTAATACAAATTGAATGGGGATTGCAGGGGCGGATCCAGGAATTTTTCCGGGGGGGAGGTTAGGCCGGAGATTTTTTGAAATGTATTTTTGCCGACAACATTATGCATGACATATGTTTAC